TCTTAACCATAAAAATAATCGACAAGTGACGTAGAAAAAGTACTGATATAAATGTCCATGATCTTACTTGATTATTTTAAATCGTGATGCTCGATTTGCACGATTCTTACAAGGTCGAGGGTCTGATGCTTCTCATTCGAGGTCAAGAGATATCTTCAGTGTTCCTCGCTGAAGGAACAAATTAGATTTGTTCACAGGTGCCGTTAATACGGCCTCAGTTACTCGATTCTAAGGTTTATATAACCACTAAGACGCCTTGATTTTGATCGACGTTCTATTACTATCTGAAGTTATGTCAAGAGGAAACACTTCCTTGTTCTTGTCGTCTAAATGACAATTGGGGTCAACAACTGTGAGTATATCCATTCATCCTTAGTCTTAGTTTACACCATTATTTAGTTAATGTCAATCTTAGTCGTTCAATTGTCGTCGAGAAAATTACCACAATACAACAAAGTACAGTCATTTTTCAAGTTGATACAAATTAAAATTTATGTTCTCGTCCATATTCATAAATCAACAATCCAGGTAATGAAATATTGAAAAAATTTTCATAAACAATTCTCTGAAAAGTTTTTATTTCTAGAAAGTTTTTTAAAATGAAGTGTATATCTTGATGTACGAATTGTTTTCATAGTTACCATTAGCAAGATGATTAGTATTAAAGTAGGGAAGGGGGGGGGCAAAATGGGCCCCCTAAAATTTTTAATATTAAAAAATATTTGGGGGCAAAATGGACCCTCAACATTTTTAACTCTCAAAGTGTTTGGGAGGTAAAATGGACTGATTAGACTTTAAAAACCAACAAATATTTTTTAGTTGAACGCGTTCTAGAATTTTTGTATGATAGAAAACATTATATAAAAAACGAACTAGGTTACGAGTTAAATAACAGGATTATATACTAGGGTGGGCCAAAAAAAACTTTTAATTTTTTTTTCTTTAGCTACCGCCAAAATATCGTCCAAGATGACGAAAAAAAAATTCTGGTAGAGTTTGAGCTCTTAATATCAATGTCTAGAGGTGTCACGTGGTGATTTTTGATTTCCCATTTAAATAACACGGGAATTTTTTTTTTTTTTTTTGGAATTTTGATGTATTTCAACGAGTTATGATGTGGTAAAAATAAATAGATATTTTTGTAGAGAATTGAACGGCCTACAAAAAAGGTCTGATATAATTTTTCGCTGTCAACTCGGTTAAAAGTTATTCGCAGTTAAAGTTCAAATAAAAATAATATACGATGACTTTCACAATTTTTTATACTTTTTAACAAATAAACGGCTTAAAATCATAAAACAACATATTTTTCGTGATTTTTCTTGTTTTTACTTCCCAAATTTAGCTGATATCTAATTATTAAGAAAAAAAATATTCAAATCGGTTGACCGTGGAGGCCATTTCTGGAATTTCCTGTTTTTCTTGAGGTTCTATCAAATTTTATTTCTGTACACAGAAAAAAAATTCTGGGTTCGAATCCCAGTCCGAGCTATCTAATAATTTTTTCTCGCATATTCTATACACTCACATTAAGATGATCCTCTCCTTAATCCTTTCTCAATCCTTTCCTACCAATTATCCTGTTACGTAAATGTTGGAACGCTTCACGTAATAAATTATCCGTAACTCCTATTCTTTCCCGCATCACAGCATTATTTATATTTGTTAAAAAAATGTGGAACGCTTCACGATGACACGCAAAATCGTGAAGCGTTCCACATTGTGAGTAGCATAAAAATAAAAAATTTGCTATTTTCTATCAATTTGTAATATTCTCACAAATTTGATGTATATACATTAGAAATTAACTTTTCTGTCCGAGCTATCTAATAATTTTTTTTTTCTCACATATTCTATACACTCACATTAAGATGATCCTCTCCACAATTCTTTCTCAATCCTTTCCTACCAATTATCCTGTTACGTGAGTGTTGGAACGCTTCACGTAATAATTATCCGTAACTTCTATTCTTTCCCGCTTCACAGCATTATTTATATTTGTTAACAAATGTTCTTGAATCAAGTATATAATTTTGAAGAACTTTATCTTCTTGATTTGAGTAGAAAAATTCTTGACCTAATACATTTTTCTTGATTTAAGGAAATTTTACCTGATTCAAGAATTTTTCGTCTTGATTCAAAAAAATTACCCTCTTCAAAATTATTTTCTTGATTCAAGAATTTTTCTCTCGAATCAAGTTAATTTGTTTTTTCAGTGTATGTACTGTATTTAAAGAATATAAATTTTTTGACAATCAACACGCCTGCACTCCTGTAGGGGGAAGGAATTTCATAAAATTTTGTTCGAGATGGTTTCTACAACATAAATAAAAGATTTCTACAAAATTTTGCGTCCATAAAAACTATAATTTGGAAATTTGATAAAATCAAATTTCATAAAATTTATCAAATTTGATAAAATCTGGTCTTAGCTGAACTTTAAGAGAAGATTACACACAAAGATTCCTACCAAATTTAGAGTTTATAGAAGTTACAGTTTGGAAATTGAAATTTAAAATTCTTGAAAAAATTAAAAACACCCACCCACGCAATTCCTATTAGAAGTAGAATTTATTGAAATCCGTATTGAGATGATCTCTACATGACAAATAAAAGACTACTACCAAACTAAGTCTGTAGGAGCTATAGCTAGTAAATTAAAAATTTTCATTGTTAACACCCACCCCCGCAATCCGTATTGGGAGTAGGTTATCATATAACATAAGTTTTTCTCAATCAATTCCAAAAATGGTCTCCACGGTCAACCGATTTGAATATTTTTTTTTTCTTAATAATTAGATATCAGCTAAATTTGGGAAGTAAAAACGAGAAAAATCACGAAAAATATGTTGTTTTATGATTTTAAGTCGTTTATTTGTTAAAAAGTATAAAAAATTGTGAAAGTCATCGTACATGGAGAGAAAAGAATAGTAATTATTACCATTCTACATGGTAACCAGGCTCATTTTCAGTAAAATGGTAAATGATGCTATGTAGAATAGGATACATTACCATTTTTCTGGTAATGATTACTATGCTACATTGAAACGAGTGAAATGGTAAATATCGCTAGTCTGCACGGAAATCAGAGCTATGTAGACTGGTAATGAGTCCCATGCTAGAATAGCTGTCCCTACAGTTTAATAAATATACATGCTATAGTATGCGCGAAAGTTTGCGCAGTAACATGCGTGTATGTGTTTATGTATGTGCGAAAGTTGGCGTCATCTCCTTTGTTTATGATTTTATTATTTTGTGTAAAAAATTTATTAAATCTACAAACTAAATTAAGAAATTGATTTTAATAAAAAGTAAATAATGGTTGATCGAAGTGTAAGTATTTGAACATTTAAATAATAATTGGCCAAAATGTAATTCTAATAAATAAATTATTGATTGTTTATTACAAAGCATTTTAATTAATTTAATTATTATTAATTTATAATTAGAAAATTATATAATAATTGTAATTTTATTGTTAAAAGTTAATGATTATTAAAAAAATATGTTTTATCTTCTGATTTGCTTTTAATCTAAGTTATTGAGCAAGTTGAAATTCCAATAAATTACATTTTGATTGTTTATTACAAAGCATTTTAATTAATTGAATTATTATTAATTTTCAATCAGGAAATTATATTTCATTATAAGTGCTCATTTAATTATTTCAATGAATTAATTTAATTTATGTATGTGTATTTTAAATAACCTGATTTACGGATTCTATCATAACCTTATTCACTAAATGTTACATAAATAACATAGCAAATATTGCTACGTAAAATTGTAATCTCGTCCATTTACATAGTCCGCTCGTCAATGTAGAATGGTAATCATTCCTATGCTAGCATAGCCAACGTTATCATTTAGAATGGGGGGATTACTTTGCCACTTGACTCTCATCGCTAAAAAATCCTCGTTTCTATGTAACATAGGAATGATTACCATTCTACATTGGAATCAGATCTATTCTTTTCTCTCCGTGTATATTATTTTTATTTGAACTTTAACTGCGAATAACTTTTAACCGAGTTGACTTAGCGAAAAATTATATCAGACGTTTTTTGTAGGCCGTTCAATTTCCTACAAAAATATCTATTTATTTTTACGACATCATAACTCGTTGAAATACATCAAAATTCCAAAAAAAAAAAAAAAAATTCCCGTGTTATTTAAATGGGAAATCAAAAATCACCACGTGACACCTCTAGATATTGATATTAAGAGCTCAAACTCTACCAAAATTTTTTTTTCATCATCTTGGACGATATTTTCGCGGTAGCTAAAGAAAAAAAAATTAAAAGTTTTTTTTGGCCCACCCTATTATATACTATATTATTTGTTAAAAAACTATTTATTACGATTGCGTGCGTGCGTGTGTGTGTGTGTGTGTGTGTGTGTGTGTGTGTGTGTGTGTGTGCACGCGTATTTAAGGTATGTAAGGTTCCATGCGTTAATATCCCCGGACATTACATCCCGCGATGCTGTGTCAGCGTCATAAGTCCGTGACAAATTTGGGAATTGGGTGAATAAAGGATAAAGGGGAAGGGGAGGACCTTTTTTCACTCAGTAGGAATCTCTTTAGTGACTGAAAAAATATAATTCGGACAGCCCGGACCGGGAATCTTTTTTTTTTTTTTAAATAAAGTTTATTTGCTTTCATAAAATACAAAATTTGCTTAAAAGCTAAGAGGCTGCAAACAAAAACTTAAAAACTAGCCATTACATATCACTTAGACTCTATAAAAGCCATTAAATTAAATTGCAAATTGGTCTCCTTGATTGGAGCAGCTTATTGCCAATACAAATTTCTATTAGTTAAGTTAATTATGATCAAATTATAAATTATTATTCTTGTTTAAAAACTATCTAATTTCGACGAAAAGTCTTTATATAAAAGTGGAAAAAACTTTCTTTAAAACCACTATGAAAACTAATTTAGTTGGACCTTAAAACTAAATGAATAAATATGTACACTATTTACAATGTGAATTGTCCCACTACTGGGTTAAATAAATACGCAGACGTCTTCTAAGTTCCTTGCGATGCTTAGATTCTTCGGTGAGCCACCAGTATTTGTCACAGAGTCTATGTGAATCCATTTTGTCTCTCGTTGGGAGTGCAACTGAGAAACCGAAGTCACACCACTTAATTTTGCGGTCATCAGGCCCAAAGGTTATTTTCTTATTCGCTTTGTGTCGCTTGTAGTGAAAGATAAGCGGCACGTTGTCTTCATCTTGGATGAGGCCATTTTTGTCAAGAGTTAAAAAGGCTTGAGGTGGTAGCAAGCCAGTTTGATTTCTTTCCAAGAAATCTTCGTCAGTGAAGACTGCTAACTTCTTGACGGACTCATTATCTATCAGCAAAATTTTGCTGAAATAATCTCTCACTAATTTGATGATGTGATTATCTATCCTGGGTATATCAGCAATGTCGTATATTGTGGCATTACTGATAAATTTTTTGTAGCCAGATTCAGCGGTTCTATAGGCACCAATACATGCACGAAGACATTTTCTCTCGAAGACACGGTAGTTCTCCATTACAGCTGCGCTCGTGTTCCACCACACTGGTGCAGCGTAAGTCAAGATTGGTCTGATCAGAAGTAAGTAGCAAATTATCTTTGTTTTTCTGCTGAGATTTTTATTGTAAAAAATCCGACCATTGGCTTTGAATGCAGATTTGGCTCTTGCTAACTGAATATCCGGATGGAACCGAAGTCTGAGTAGATGATCAATGTGAACACCAAGATATTTAACCACGCTTTTATGAGGAATATCAACATCTTCGTTGTTGTTAGGCGATAGAGTGGTGATTTTGAATTCTCTAAGCTCAGTCAAGGCTTTTTTACTAAGATGGTTTGATTCCCTCCTAAAGACTATCGTTTCACACTTATCTGGATTCATTCTAAGATTCCAGACACGGTAAAAACGATTTATTTCATTGACTAGATGTTCTAAGCGATTTTTAAGGGTCGAAGGTTGTTTCTCGGCCACTCCAATTATCAGGTCATCGGCATTTGCGATAGCAAATAAATTATCATCAGTGTCAAGTCCGAACGATTTAAGTAGAGCCATGATGAAGATGTTGAAAAGTAGCGGTGAATTAACCGTACCCTGTTGCAGTCCTTCAAGAATCTCGTACTTTTTTTTAGACAAATTGACTCCGTCCCAGGTGCGAAACGATCTGCCTAAAATCATGTCAGTGATAGTTAGTACTAACCATTGTGGGAATCCTAGTTTTATTAGTTTGAAAATTAGACCATTGAGCCAAACGGAGTCAAAAGCCTTTTCTAAGTCAATCAAGGCCACTCCAACCCTGAGGTTCTTAGAAAGGAAGTTTGACAGAGTGTCTAAGATTTTATGTACGGCATGAGTGATACTATGCATGGCGCGAAAACCAAATTGGAGATCGTGCATAATTTTTTTGTTGTTGCAAACTCTGACGATATGGTTGTTTAAGACCATTTCGAAAACTTTACCAAGGTTTGAAGTTAAACTTATAGGTCAGTAGCTAGTGGCTTTACTTGGGTCTTTGTCCTTCTTCAATATAGGCAGGACTTTAGCGTCTTTCCAGGCAGTTGGAAAGTAAGTCAGGTTAATTGCATTATTAAATATAATTAACAGTGCTCGGATGATTTTAGCGGGTAGATGTTTCAGAATGATCGAGGGGATCTCATCAGGGCCACTTGAAGTTTTATTTGGCAGTTTCTTGAGGATGTTAGTCAACTGGTTTAAGTTAGTGAAGGGGCATTCTTCTTCAGTCTCTGTCGAAGGGCTCAAGGCACTATTAACACTAGAGAAATTAGTAAGAGTTGAGCCGTCGGCATGTCTGGTGATGAGAGAGTCTTTGACTAATTCAGCATCTCTGTCAACGATGATTTTTAGTTTTGCACCTTCCGCAAGGTATCGGGGGGCATTAATGGACTGGTAAAATTCCCCGATGACGTTTAATTTGTCAATTGGCTCAGTTATTAAAAGCTTTTCTCCAACCAGGTGTGCAGAGTTGATGTCAATCGCTCCATTCAGACAGGCAGGATCAGTAACTTTTACCCGTTGGGCAGCTATTGGTGTAAGCTTTTTTTTTCCTAAGGAACCTGTTGATTTTAGGAAAAAATGCAGTAGGGTCCTTGTGGTTGATTTGTCTAAGTTGACCATTCCAGTAGCTTTCCACAGACTTGTTCATTTCTATTCTGAGCTCAGACTTAATTATATTGATATTAGATTTTAAGTTCTCAATAAGTTCTTTTTTATCCGGTCTGTTAGTTTTGTAAGCTTTGTGTAGGAGATTAATAGCCTTGTTTTTATTTTTTTGTAGCTGTTTGATTCTAGAGTTGAGGTACTTGAAAATACTGTCTTCTTTTTTAAATTTTGGAGCAGTTTTATTCATTGCTTTAAGTAAAGTTTTGGTCACCTCAGCGATGCTACTATTTACTTCATCTATAGACATATTTCTATCAACTGGGAGATCTAAAATGAATTCAGTGTCAGCAATTTTTTCAAATTTTTTCCATTTGATCGCCTTTAGATTCCGCCTCTGGACTTCAGGAATACTGTCTTGAAGGTTATTCACGGTTATTACACGGCAGAATTGTTGAGAATAGTAGCGCTTTGTGGTCACTGTCATATGTTGTGGTTCTAATTTTATTGTTTGCTTGCAGATTAGTTAAAGTAAGGTTGGTGATGCACACATCCAGGAAAGTTTCTCCAGAAGTGAAAGAAGGGAGATCAGTAGTGTAGATTTTGCCATTAAATTTGCTGGCACTTTCGTGTTCCCATTTTCTGAGATATTTTCTTCTCTCGTTGTCCACTCTGTCACCCCAATCGGTCCGTCGAGCGTTAAAGTCACCCGCTAAAACATAATAATGATTAGGTTTATTAGCATTTAATTTTTGAAGTAAATCGTTTAGCTCTTGGATAAAAATTTTTCCATTCGAGTTAGTTGCATAGCAACTGACAAGGAAAATTTTATTGGTCGCCGGTGGTACAGGCGAGAGTTGAATTATTGTGAATTTTAATAATTCCTTATTTATTGATAAAGAATATCTAACAGTTTGGTGACCAATATTTCTTCTGATCAAAATAGCAGTACCACCACCTTGTTTTGAGTTTGGGCGGTCTGTACGTATGATTGAGTAGCTTTGAGAGAGCATGATTCGCATGCTCGTTAGCTTAGTTTCTAAGGTAAAGACAACATCCGGTTGGTATTGCTCTATTCTGGTATATATATAACTCAAGTCGACGAACATTATGTTGAAGTGAGTTCACGTTTATAGCCATTAGATTCAAGGCTATATGCTGTCCGAGAGGACTGCTGTTTTCTGGAGATGGAGATTTCAGAGTGTTTGACTTATCCATGTTGGACTCCCAAGAAGTTGAACAAGAAGTTAATTCTCTGCGAGTTGTTCGCTATGCTCTGATGTATACTCGCACCCATAAGCCTGATTTCTTTAGATAGGGAGCTGATTTCATTTCTGAGTTGTTCGACACCACTCTGATCTTGAGTTTCCTTGTTTGAAGCTTGTTGTTGTTGAGCTGGCTGGTGGAATTGCTGCTGGACTTGCTGCTGGAATTGCTGCTGAAAATTAATTACAGCTTGAGAGTGACGTTGTCTAAGTGGGGGAAAATTCTCCCTACTAGTAGTCGCTACGTTGGCAAAGGACAGCTGAGGATTTATTCCCCTGTTTAAAACCTCAATTCTTCTGTCTAGTTGCCTGTTTTTTGACTGAATGCTGCCAACATTCGTAACTTTAGCGAATTTTATGAATTCACATCCAGCATAATTAGCTGGGTGTCCAACTTTTTTGCAGTTAGCACATCTGAATTTTTCTCTGGTTGTTTCATCGTTCAGAGGGCACTCTCCAGGATTGTGGGACTCTCCACATTTAACACATCTGAACTCCATCTCGCAGTTCGCAGCAGTGTGTCCGATTCTTTGGCATTTTAGGCACTGGAGAACTCTATTCTTTCGAAGACGCTCCCATCTGGCTTTTAGTGAGAGGACATTTCTAATTTTAAAGAGTTCTTTTAGACTACTTTTTTGGGTAATTTGGACAATGAGGTGCCTACCAGGAATATTATCTTTACCTTTAAATTTAAGCTCGGAAACTTTTAAAATCTCAACAGATGGGATATTTTTACTTTTTAGGTTCTCAACTACTTGAGCTGGTGAGAAATCTTCACTGATTCCTTTTAAAAGGACCGATTTCGGTCTATCACCTTTAGGGGTATAGGTGTAGTATTGGATTCAAGCTTCCTTCAACGTTTTTTTAATTGTTTCATAAGAAACTTGATTAGACACTTGAACCGAGTGTAGTCCCTTTGATAAGGTGACTACAAAGGAATCCTGCTCTATATTGGCTATTCTAATAGAGGTGACAGTTTTACTCACTGCTTCTCCCGGAATTAATATCGGTGGCGGTCTATAAGATTTTTCTTTAATCACCTCCTGTGTATTATTTTTTTCAGCTGTAGATTGGGCTGCATTATTATCATTTGAATTAGTCGGAGGATTTTGGGACTCCGTTTCCATGCTGTCAAGTTGGGCTGTGTCGCCATCTACCGAGAGCTGGTCGAACTTGTTTGTCGTGATAGGTGACGCGTCTGTCAAAGTATTTAGTAGATTACCTTTGTTAGTTTTTGCCGGATGCGTAAAGCCGTCAGAATCGACCTTTGTTATCCTCTTGTTACGTTGAGTTGTCAGATTGGGAGTGGCATTGTTTTTAACAGTTTTGGTATCTTGGAAACCACTATTCTGCTTTTTATCTTTGTTAAGGAAAGCACGTTCAAGAGCAAACGAATTTAGAGGCCCACGCGAGCTTCTCTTGTCAACTGGGGCGGCAGTATGCGCCGACGCCTTACGTTTTTCTGTTGTGGCGGATTCCGCCATCTTGGACGGGTCTTCAGCCATCCACGGTGTTGTATATTATGAATGCTACAGGCGACTGCTTGGCCGAGTGGTTTAAGTCTTAAACTGCCGCACAGCAGTCGCTCAGGCGTGGGTTCGAGCCCTGGCAATTGCAATTTTTCTTCTGCGATTTCCGGGGCTTGCTCCCTTGCCGACTGTACCTTGACCAGGTTTCTGTGGTTTTTCCTCGGTCATTGTGCCCCTAAAATAAGCGGGGCACAGGCAAATGCGGGTACAGACTGTAAGCCGGCCACAGCCGCAAAAACGGAGGGTCCTGTTACAGGACTATATAGGAGGAATAGCTACAGGAGGAAATAGCTACAGAAGGAAATAGTTACAGGAGGAAATAGCTACAGGAGGAAATAGCTACAGGAGTAGCTTGGAGGGGGCCTGGTACTGCGAAGTAATGCTAACGCGGTCCCGCAGTATCAGGTACAAGAGAGGGGAGGGTTTTAGTGAGTAAGAATCTCACACTACCGGCAACCAATATCTCCAACATCTAGCCGGTGTCTTATGAAGATTTCCCTCCTCTCGCCCAAAAAAAAAAAAAAAAAAAAAAATATTATGAATGCTTTCGATATTAAATTATTTTGCACATAAACAAATTTCACACAGAAACACTAATTGCAGTGCTACAGAGTAGTAAGATATAATTATTTGAGTTATAAATTGATAATATTAATGCTCATACACTCAAAGCACATCAAAGACACAAGACACAGTCAGAGGACACGATGTGCACACGACGGCATCTGTGTTGACTCCCCGGACCGGGAATCGAACCCGGATCGTTCGGTTACGCGCCAAAGGCTCTACCAGTTAAGCTATCCGAGACCTTGTCCGTAACTACTATTCAGTCACATATTAAAGACCTGACTTGAGTAAACGCCACCGTCCATCTTACGGTAATAACAAATATTAATTTGTAGTTAAATTTGTCGTGTGGATAAGTCAGCGACATGATCGGGGATACAATGTCGGGGATATAATGTCATGGGGATATTTTGTCTTGAGGATATTAACGCCTGGAACCGTATGTAAACCTCTCACAACTTTTGAACGGCTTGACCGATTTGAACGGGATTGGCAGCAATCGAAAAATTTTCTTTGCCTCTAGATATTTTATACTATTTAAGGTGATTCGGGCCGGTAGATTTTGAGTGATCTTGAAAACAATATCGTGAACGAAATATTTGGGAAAAAGTGTTTTTACATAACTCCGACATTTATTCCTGGATCGTTTTTGATTCAATGACATGATTTTTAGAGCTTAAAAAACCACTTCAATTGTTGCCAATAACGGCAAAATCGGTTGAATGGTTCGAGAGAAATTTAATTAAAAAAAATTAAAAAAGTATTTTTTCAACACAACTTTGAAATTTCACGTCCGATTGTTTGGTAAGTCATAAATCATCTTTTTGTTCTAGAAAGACTACAGAGAATGCCGTTAATTTTTTTAAAATCAGATAATTCATTTGTGAGAAATCGATGTCAAAAAATTCCAAAAAATTGGTTTTTTGTAGTACATTTCAATTGGCTTCATTAATCGAATCTAAAAACTAATCGGTTTTTAAGCTTGGAAATTCGCGTTAATCACCGTCAACGCAATTGAAATTAATTAATTAGTTGGAGAGATATAGTTGCCGAAATAATAAAAAAAAAAACGTTTTTTTGAAATTACTTTGAAATTATTGATCTGATTTATTATTGCTCTTGGCGTGAAAAGTTGAGCACTTAGGTTTGGAGTTAGCGGGAAGTTGCAGGGATGTCCAGAGTCAACAATTTTTCTATAATTAGCTAAATATTATCATTGATGCGGTGATAGGTGGTGAGTGTGTGACTAATGAAAATAATTTAATTAAGTTGATTATGATTATAAATATCAATGATAATACATTACTTTCTGTTTTTTAAGAATGAATTTCCAAGGGTGAAAAGACCGGGGATTTCAATGACCGACGGGTCAATTTCAGAGGGTGAAATGACCGGGGGTTGAAATGACCAACAGGTCAATTTCAGAGGGTGATATGATCGAGTTAAAATGTCCAAGAACGAATTTTCAGAGGTTGAATCGACCTCATTTTTTATAACCCCATTTTTCACCACTTGACATTTTAGTGAATTTGAGAAAAATTTAACTATTCAAGTAGAATTTTTATAGAATTTATGAATTAATACATTTATACGAATTGAATTCATAAAGTCTTTTACGCTTATAGAAATATTTATACAATAATTTGAAAATAAAGAGGCCAAAATAGGTACACTGGCCACAAACGGTATACTTCTACCCTAGTTATAATTACAAGATTTTAATCAATAACATGAAAGTGAATCATATTTGATTTATCATCGGGAACTTTGTAATCATTAAAAATGAATGATGGTAATCGTTACCATTAACTTTTCAGCGTGTACATTGTTAAATTACTTACAATAATATATATTAGGGTGAGCCAAAAAAACTTTTTCTTTAGCTACCGCGTAAATATCGTCCAAGATGACGAAAAAAAAATTGTGGTAGAGTTTGAGCTCTTAATATCAATATCTAGAGGTGTCACATGGTGACTTTTGATTTCCCATTTAAATAACACGGGAATTTTTTTTTTTTTTTGAATTTTGATGTATCTCAATGAGTTATTGTGTGGTAAAAATAAATAAATATTTTTGTAGGAAATTGAACGGCCTACAAAATAGGTCTGATATAATTTTTCGCTAAGTCAACTCGGTTGAAAGTTATTCGCAGTTAAAGTTCAAATTAAAATAATATACGATGACTCACAATTTTTTATACTTTTTAACAAAAAAACGGCCCAAAATCATAAAACAACATATTTTTTGTGATTTTTCTCGTTTTTACTTCCCAAATTTATTGAGAAAAACTTATGTTATATGATAACCTACTTTCAATACGGATTGCGGGGGTGGGTGTTAACAATGAAAATTTTAAATTTACTAGCTATAGTTCCTACAGACTTAATTTGGTAGTAGTCTTTTATTTGTCATGTAGAGATCATCTCAATACGGATTTCAATAAATTCTACCTCCAATAAGGATTGCGTGGGTGGGTGTTAGAATTTTCAATTTCAATTTCCAAACTGTAACTTCTATTAACTTCTATTAAATTTGGTAAGAATCTTTATGTGTAATCTTCCCTTAAAGTTCAGCTAAGAATGGATTTTATCAAATTTCAACTTCAATAGGGATTGCGAGAACGTTAAAAATAAACAATTCTTATTTCCAAATAATAGTTTCTATGGACTCAAAATTTTGTAGGAATCTTTTATTTATGTTGTAGAAACCATCTCGAACAAAATTTTATGAAATTCCTTCCCCCTACAGGAGTGCAGGCGTGTTGATTGTCAAAGAATTTATATTCTTTAAATACAGTACATACACTGAAAAAAAAAATTAGAAAAACGGTAGACCCTGAAGGCTATCCGTGCAACTTCCCGCTAATTCTATTCCTAGGTGCATAAAACTCTTCGAACAAAAAAGTCTAATAGAAGTATCATAGAACAATATTTTTTTAATTTTCAAACCGCACTAACTTTTAAATGAATCACTCGATTTTCAGGCGGTTGGCAGTATTTGACGCAATTTTTTTAGTTTCATGAAAAATCTTCAAGTTTGAATTGATAAAACTAGGAAATTCGGAGTAATTCCAAAAAAAAACACTTTTTTTGGTTTTCTTTCGTTCATGATATTTCCTGAACGAATTGACCAATTTCGACCGGCTTGACGGCGATCGACGTAATTTTTTCATGCTAATAGCTGATTAGTTTTTGAAATTGATCAGTGCAGCCGTTTAAAAGTTATACCAAAAAATGTCGGAGTTATGTTAAAAAAACAATTGTTTTCAAATATTTTATCGAAGATATCTCTCGAACTAATCAACCGATTTCCACGTTTTTGGCAGCGATCGACGCGGTTTTTTAAGCTCTGAAATTATTCTATATCATCAAAAACGATCCGAGAAGAAATGACGAAGTTATGTGAAAAAACACTTTTTCGGTTTTTTCGGTTTTCTTTCGTTCACGCTACCTCTCGAACGAGTTATTTGGTGAGACTTTTGTCTGCCTCCTTTTCGTAACAGGCCGTTTCCT